ACAGATAGAAGACAAAAGTGCCTTAGAAAATGTTACATTAACACATTCCTCCTCATGTTGAGGTACAGTAATAGACAAATTTGTCTCATGGGAGTTATCAACATTCAACTTCTTGCGTACAGACGTAGAAGCCCGATTCGTGATCCGTTTCTTCAAAGAAGCTCCAATGAGTAGACTTTGACCCCCTCTTCTCTTAACCATAACTTTTTGTTGGGAATTCTTCTTCTTACCTGCATTCTCTGGACCGACACGGTACGCTTAGGCTCTCTACGTTGTCCTAGTCGGGCAGAGAGAGGAAGGGTCATTACTGGACCGGAGTGAACCCGCATTCTGGGGAGGTCAGGAATCGTCGCTTCAGAGGATGGGGAGGAGTTACAGTGATCATCACTCTCTGCCTGAATCTCTCTTGCTCTTGTATCTCTATTTTGGGAGGGTGTGTTTCCTACAGTGCCTTGTTCTTTGCTACTCTGTTTTAAAGCAGGGGAGGTTCTTGTTCGCTGATTTTGCGCATCCTCTTGGGCTCTTCTGTTCTCCAGGAGGGAGATTCTTTCAAGGGCTGGTCTCTTTGAAACCGATCTAGTATTCGTCGAACCCTCAAGTTCTAACTCTGCCTCACCGTCTACCGAGAGTCGCTCGAAGATAGGTCTTTTAGAGTAATTTTTGGACTGCTCTGTATTATCTTTGTTATTACTGGGAATTCTATTGGGTGAGACCTCTCCTGGTTCACGAAAAGCTGCAGGACCATTTTCTCCGTTGTGAAAAGCTCTTACACTATCTCTATTAGATTCTAGTTCGGAATAGTGCTTGTCCTCAATACGAGGTAACTGATAAGTATGGTTTCTGGAGGCAAGCTCTCTAAGCCGATGATCGAATTCAAACTTGTCTCTATGATTTTCTTTTGAGTTTCTAGGAAGCTCCATACGTCCATTATTTGTTTCATAGCCTTTCCTCCTATCACCCTGATTATTCCTAGGAAGATTCCTTAGATGATACAAACCTCCGCTGTTTGTATCTCTCTGTTCAAGCCTATTATTCTGATCCCAGTTTTCATATCGAGGTCTTTTTTATGTATCATCACGATCCCTAGTCTGAGCGTAGCGTAGGGGCGAGATGCTTCTATGACATCGATGAAGATCTTTCCCGTGCTCGTTAGGCAGCGGTTGTTCCTTTTGTTCATCCTGTCTTAATGATCCTCTTTTCCTTTTGTCCTCCTCCAGATGGGAAATTGTCTTTTGTTGGTTGATTCCCGTGTAATTTGAGCTAGTCGATCGACTCTTGGAAGATGTT